AAATGGATAAATTCCTAGACACATATAACCAACATATATTAGGGCTGGGGATTTAGCTCAGTGGTTCTGCTGCTTGCCTTGCAAGCACAAGGACCTGAGTTCGATCCCCGGTACCAAAAAACATAAATTGAACTAAGGAGAAATACAAAATCTGAAAAGATCAATAACAGTCAATGAGATTGAAGCAGTGATTAAACTCTACCAAGTAAAAAATGTCAAGGACCAGTTGGACTTACTGATGATTTTTGTCACACTTCCAAAAACTAATATCAATGCTCCTCAAACTTTTCCATGTAATAGAAGGGGGAAGTATCTTCCCAGATTTATTTAAAGAAGCCAGAATTACTCTCATATCAAAACTGGATTAAGACTCAAAAAAAAAAAACAAATTTATAGGCCAATTTTATTATGTGTTAAAATTGAAATTTATAGGCCAGTATCCATGATAAGCATAGATGCAAAAATTATTAATAAGATCCTCACAAATAGAATATAACAACTCTATAAAAGATTAACATGACCAAGTTGGTTTCATCCTTGGGATGCAAGGATAATTCAACATTAGTAAATCAAAAACTTTAATACACCACACAAATACAACCAAGGGTAAAAATCACATGATCATCTCAATAGATGCTAAAAAAACTTTTGACAAATTTCAACACCCCTTTATGATAAAACTCTAAAGACAATAGGTATAGAAGGACCTTACCTCAGAATAATAAAAGCCAAATATGACAAACCCACAGCTAACACCATACTGAATGGTGAAACACTGAGAGAATTCCCTCTAAGGTCAATAAAAAGATTAGGGTGTCCACTCTCACTAAACCTACACGATATAGTACTTGAAACTTTAGGCAGATCAATCAAGGAATAGAAAGAAATAAAACAAATATGATTAGGAATGGAAGAAGTCAAATTATCCCTTTTTACAGATGCTATGATACTTTACATAGAAGACTAAAAAACTCTACCATATGAACTTTAGAAATGGTAAACAAATTCAGTAAAGTGACAGTATATAAAATCAATACACAAAAATTAATTACTTTTTGATTCAATAATAATAAACCTACCAAAAAAGAAATCATGGAAATAATTCCATACACAATAGCTTCAAAAAACTAAATGCTTAGGAAAAAACCTAACCGAGGAGATAAAACAGCATCACTATACCAGACTTCAAGCTATATTATAAAGCCATAGTAACAAAAGCAATATGGTATCCTACTAGAAATGTAGACTAATGGTGTAGAGTAAAAGACACAGAAACAAAGACAAGCCCCCTACAACTATCTGATTTTTGACAAACAGGCCAAAAACATGCTCAGGAGAAAAGACAGTCTCTTTAATATATTGTGGGAATGGAAAATGGTACAGTCACTAGATAAAAAAAGAATGGAGGTTTGTCAGGAGCAATTCTACATAATTTCACATTAAATTTCACAATTAAGTCATGATTAGGGCCTAGTTTTCCTGCCTACAGGCCAGCTATTGCATGTGGAGACATAACTCCATCTTTGCCTCTGGTCACAGCTAAAACCTCAACAGTCCAGTAATGCTGTGATGCTCCAAGGGAAGATTACACCAGCTGAATACATTCTAGGGAAGAACAAAATCTTCATCTGAATAGTTCTTCAATATTCTGGGATTTTCACTGCCATTGCCCTCTGAGTCACCTGTTATATTTGTTACTCCTGATGTACCAAACCATTGCCCTCTGAGTCATCTGCTATTTTTGTTACTCCCCATGTACCAAATTAAGATATGGCAAGCTCAGGGTATTCTGTCTTTGCTGCCCAGAGGAGCATTGATCAGGCCCGAAGCTCAGCTTCTTCTCTAAGTCTCATTTTTCTTTCTTTTCTGTCTATTAAATTAATTCAGCTTGTGCTGTCATGGCTCACAGGAGACTAGGACTTCCTGCAGAGGTTCTAGTAATGACCCTTTGCCCTGTTCCCTACTGAGGTTTTTCAAAAAATTAAAAATAGAACCAGCATATAATCTAGCAATCCCGTCTCTGGGTATTTATACAAAGAAATTGAAATCAATATCTAAAAAATATATGTGCAATGTGTTACAGAAAGAAAATCTGATGTGGAAAGAAAATAGTATCAGTCAATGAATAAATGGATTTTTAAGTGTATTATCGATGTACCATGAAATATTATTCCACCTTAAATGGTGATCCCATCAATACAACAGGGATGAAAATTGAGGAAATGATGCTGAGTGAAATAATCTAGTCATGGAAGGATAAATACTGCATGATTCCATTTATATTAGGGATTTAAAACAGTCAAACTCATAGGCTCAGAGAGAAGAATGGTGGTTGGCAGGCACTAAGGGGAGGGGGAAGTAGGGAGGTATTGGTCAAGGAGTACAAAGTTTTAGTTACACAAATGAATAAGTTCTTGAGATCTACTCTATGACATCATGCCTATAGTTAACAATACCAAAATATAATCTCAGAGTTTTGTTAAAATGATGAAATGTTCTTACCACAATTTTTTAAATCTTGTTCCTAATATTTGAAAACTTGAGTGAAAAAAGGACCATAAGTAGTGGACAAATATTTTGTCAGAAAAACTCCAAAAAAGGCACCAAATCAAAGATGGATAAGTAGCACACGAAGAAAATGCCAGAGATGTCCACAGGCAAAGAGATCTAAGTGAGAAGTATTTGAGGGAACAGGAGAGGAACAGGTCCACGCTGAATAGCACTTTGAACACAGACTATCCTCTTTTTAGATCAATAAGTGGGAATAGTTTTCTTAAAATTGTGCCTCACTATGTTCCCCAGGTTAGTCTCAAACTCCTGGGTTCAAACAGTCCTCTGGTCAGGTTCCCAAGTACGTGGGACATGGGAATGTTATTTAAAAGTATTTTTAGAAGCATGTTCTGATAGCTCTAGAGATACATTTATAAGTCAAGAATCCCACTCAAGGCTTATAAAGCCACAATTTAAATATCTTGGTTCTAACTCAACTTTCTTGTCATACTGTCTTCCAAAGGTGTTTTGCTTTCTTTTGTTTTGTTTTTTTGACTTGAAAATATTTTTTCAGAGTCACCAACTACACAGATTGAGAATTTGCTTCAAATTCTGATTAGATTACATCACTTAGTCAGTGGCTATCTGAACAAAACTGAACAGAAATCTTAATTCCCCATTTCCAAGTTTTTCTGACCCCCTGGATTACATAAGAAATATTATAACTAAGAAACCATAACATCAGTTTTACAAAAAGTATGGCTTTTGATTTATATCCTATAATTCAACTTAATATAAAGTATGTCTTATTTCTATCAGGCCAGAGGTATCCTGGACTTGATCGGAGTATCAGGACAAATCTATAATGCCAGTAGTCAAGGCAGCAAGACATGCATATTATAAGAGGTAGTTTAGCTGTCTAGCTTGTATATAGGCAGCTAGCAAGAAACAGTCTAAGATGGAGACTCACTAGTCAACTATACAAAGAAATCAGCACATACACACGGTTAAGGATTAATTCCAGCCATATAGATCACTAAGTTTAAGAATGTAAAAGCAAACAGAGAAGTGACCACTGTAACTGAACTCTTCCTCCCTTTGACTTTGTTCTCCCTATACATAGCAAGATTCCTGACTGGCCCAAAAAGTGCATGGTCAGTGCAGGACACTGCATGCTCTATTTCTGTATAGGTCATATTAGAGCACAGACAGTCCATATCCAGATTCTATATGCTAAGCCAAACCCACCTCGAAGTGTTACAGCCAGAAACCTGGCTAGATATAAAACCCCCTTGGAGACCCTTTTCAGAACTCCTCCTGATTATCAGCTTTTTTTCTTCTTTCCTTCTAGTAAACACTCCTCTTAACTGCCTCTTTGTCTGTTATTTCATTGATTGACTTCATGAGGTACCAACCAAGTTTGGACGGTAACAATAGGATCTTCAGTGTTTTCAAGTTTCCTCACCATTTCCCAAGAGACTCTCAATCCAATTTGGTCAGTGACAGCTGATCCATACAGGTCTTTAGCAATGAGTACAACCTCCTTTGGTGTCTGGACCTCTTTGAGACACCTTCTCAGAGATCTTTCTCAAGAAATCTGGACTCATTCTGTGTTCTCATATTCTACATTGGGAGGAGGCTCCCTATAGCTGCGGCTGATGCTCCCACATCTCCATGCCACACCCCCGGGCACAGGTGTCATCCCTCAGGCCAGGGACCCTGAGACCCACTCAGCCTGTACTCAAGAGCATCAGCATAGACCTTCTCTGGTCTTTGAGCTTCAATAATTTGAATTTTTCTTTATTTTTACCAATCCTCACACTCTGACTTTAGTCTCATCTTTTACGCTCTCAATGTGTCCTTATCTAATCTGGGGGAGGGGGACAATGAGAGTGAGCACAAGGTGGAAGATCTATAATTAAAACAATTTATGACTTAAATTTTTTGAAAGTAGTTTTTTTCATGCTTTCTTTCTTCCCTTTGCATTTTTTTTTGCCACTACATTTCTAATGCAGCATATAAACATCTTGAAAAATTGAATAGAAAAGAGCAAGGTTTTTTAAAAAAGCTATATGGGAATGTCTGCTAACCTTTTCCTTTGTATGTAAAAATAATTTAAAAACTAATCCCCTTCAGTAATGTGATATAAAACTAGAGTGGACATTAGCATATATGCACTAAATATGTGCATTTTTTGTTATATCAACCATACATCAATTTTTAAATGAGAAAGAGAGAGAAAGCACTTGGAATCATTGGCTGTGTTTATAACATTGTTTATGGTTGTTTTGGTTTACACTTATCTTCAGTCTCAGCAAGATGTATACATTAAATATGTGCATATTTTGTATATATCTCAATAAAATTTTTAACTGGAGTGGCAACAGAAAACTAGAAGATATTTCTACCTGACCAATATCATCTTTCCTTACCCCCTCATGGTCACTTATTTTCAGAATTATTAAAATACTTCCCCAGTCCATCAAACCATCCCTACGATTGTTCTTAATTCACTGTGAATCTGAATCCCTCTGGAGCAGAAACAGAAACTCTCTGCCCTGTGGTCTCTGCTCCCTCAAGCCTCCCAAGGCCCTATGGTTTGGGTGCAGGCTGCAGGTGCCTGGGGAGCACTGTGTGCTCACTGCGCAGAGGTAGGTGGCTGAGTCACTGTGCTGGGAGTCTCTGATGTACAGGGAAACATGCCGGCTGGCTGTGTTGAGCTGCATTGTGAATCTTCCTTCTTCCTTGTCACCACTGGAGTACATGGACACCAGGAACTCGGGGCCTTTCCCAGGATACTGTCGGTACCACCTGAAGTACTGAGAAGCACTGTCCCTGTAAGTACAATTGAGAGAGGCAATGGCTCCCTCGAGAACACTGAGGGACTCAGGACTCTGCTCCACCTCCTGCTGGCTGCTCACCCCTGTGCAAAAAGACAAGAGTCATAAAAAATTGATTAGGTTTTGGGTGATAACTCATCAGAATGAAAGCTATTTTTTTCATGGGCCTCTGGCCTTCCATCATATAGAGGGAAAATCATTCATGTTTCTTCCCATAAGCCTGGAATAGAGAAGAGCTTTACACATTATACATTCTGCTCCCATGGAAATGCCCAAACTCACCGTTCAACTGAAGCCACAGAATCACTAGTAAAACATTGAAGGATTCCATCATTTCTTCCCCCCTGGTTCAATGAAGATTTCAAATTTTAAACCCTAACAGAATGTGCCTTGTTCAGATATTGATTCTTCTGCTTTAAAAGAAACCTAAAGATTCTGTTTTCCCAATTAGAAAAGAGTTGCTTTTTACCATCCCTGCCACACAAACAAGCCCCTCCCCTTCTCTCTCCCTGTCCCCCTCCCTCTTTCACACACACACACACACACACACACACACACACACACACAGGAGCACTTGAAGATTGTCCTCATGGTCTCTGAGAAGACACCGCCATCTTGTGGACCTAAAGTAGTGATCAAAGAAATATCAAAATGCAGACACTTGTTATGTAAACAGTGAAATGTAAAAATCTGATACTTTAGTTAGAAATTTAAGAAACATCTGTTCCAAGTTGATCTGTGGGTATGTGTGGGATGTGTGCGTATGTATTTTATATCCAATGGCACCTCTTTCCTGAGAAAGAGCACTTACTTCAAAGAATCACTTTCCTGCACTGAAAAATCATTCACATCTCTGTTGTAAAAATCTAGGTGGGATTCAAGGAGCGTTTCATCTTGCACAGCTCGTCTGCATGTCAACTCAGACACCCCATCCAACTTTCTCCTCTCCAATTTTTAAAGCAATTTCTTATAATTGAAAAGAATCCTTTCAGAAATGTTGCTTAATAAACATGGTTCCAGCTCACGGCGTGTGAGATAGATAGATAGATTTATTTTTTTAACAAAGCTGGAAAGTAGATGAGCTTGTAATATTTCATCCATTTGGCACCAGTAACATGCCTGTGTTGAAACCAGGTTTGCTCTAAATAAAACCTAACGTTCTTGTTTATTTTTCTAATGTCTCTAGTTCCTTCTCTTGAATCAAGCCCTAATAAATTCTGGGACTGACTTGTTTGTTTGTTTGTTTGTTTGGTACTGGGGATCAAACTGGACCTTGAACTTGTAAGGCAGACGCCAAAATCACTAAGCTAAATCCCTGGCCTCAGGGACTGATTCTTAAAGATATGTATTTGCTCACTCTTTCTGTGTTTCTATCCTAACCTAACCAGCAAGCTATATTGATTAGAGTGATAGATACGCCAGAATTTTAATTGGGCCTACAGAGATACTAACACAGGAAACTCCTCTTTTTCCCTTGCTCCACACCCTGCTTTGCATTTATGCGGAAGCAGGAGGCTGAAGGCCAGCAATGAAGAATCCGTTTTCTTCTCAAGTGCCACATGGTACCCACCAAAAATGTTCTGGTCAGACCTTTCCCATTTCCTCCAATAGCTGCATAGGAAATAGAATGAGGGGGAAATGCTTGAAACTTATTCTCCAAGACTAGCATATATTGACAAAAATTTCTCGATAATGTGAAAAACACAGGAAGAATGACTGTAGCACAAACTGCAGCCACCACAACCTAAAAGCTGGTTTAAAATAAATACAAAACATTAAAAATAGGAAATTTGGCCCCTAGCCCAGTCTTTGTAACAAGTATGCCTCACTTTAGGCTTGTAACAATGACAAATATATATATTTGTTATATATATGTATGTATAATATATGTAATGAGGCATACATGTTATTATATATTATTTATAATATATATATACACATACATATTCATTCTAGTATGAGGTGGACCCAAGAGCCACATTGGTACTTGGAAAATGACAGAATTCACCTAGCATCATAATTGTCCTACAGAAGCTCCTGTGTGTAATGGAGTCCAAAGGCGATTTGAAGTTGTTCAGGTGCCTGCAGGGCAGTGTTGTGGCAGTCAGCCAAGAAGGAAAACCACAGTACTCTCCCCCCTCCTTCTGTGTTAAGCAGTCTTTATCTACCACAGTACAAAATTTTGTAGATATGTCTTGAGAACATCAAAGAGATGAAAAACAAGTTCCCATTAGAACACAATTTAACATAAAAGAAATGCGACTATAAGTGGTACTAAATTTGTGCCCACTTGAAATATATAAGTTGTTCTATTGTAGAAAATAACAACAATGGAGATTTACACATGTGGAAAATTACACATGTACAAACACACATCCACAATTTACCCACTGTGTTTCTATTTACATGCCTATAATTACATTTACACATTTGTCTTTTAAATTATATGGGGAAATTGCTGGTTTTATATTTAATTATAATTACATTTTCTATTGCTCCTTTATTTTGTATGGATCCAAGCTACTACTGTTTAATGCCTTTTCATTTCAGCCTAGAGGACTGCTATTAGGAGTCTTGTAGGGAAGATACAAAGGACAAACACCATCTAGTTTTGTTTACTTGGTTTATTTCCATTTTTCATTTGTTTGAAAATGATTTTGCCAGGTATAGATTTGTTGGGTGACAATTTGTTTTTCTTCCAGCACTTTAGGTACTGCTTTCATTCTATTTTCCTAAGGTTTCCATGGTCCCTGATGACAAACTGACTGTTAATTCAATTAAAGTTTCCTTGCATATCATTAGTTATTTCCGTCTTGCAGCTTTTAAAATATTCAATTTGTCCTTATCTTTTGCAGTTCCATTATAGTGTGCTGTTGTCAATTTCTTCCCCACTATCCTACTTATTGTATGGTGAATTCTTGAATGTGTAGATTCTTGTCTCCCATCAAATTTGGGAAGATCCTGGTCATTATTTATTCACTTTTTCTTCCTTTCCCCATAATGTCACCCTTCCCCTTCTAGGATTTCTATTATTCTTAGATCTATACATTTGATAATGTATTCCAGATCTTCATGCTTGTTTGTTTTTCTTCCTTTTTTTTTAACTCCTCCTCAGATTGGATAATTTCAGTTGATCTATCTTCAAGTTTGAGAAGTCTTTCTTATATGTTTGTCTAAGCCATTTTCTCATTATTCAGTCAAAATATCCAACACCCACCCTATTAAAGTAGGATAGGTTTATTTTGCCTCATGAGTTCAGTCCACAGTCAGCTGGCTAAAAGGAAAAGGAAAAGGTGCTCAATCCATAGCAGCCAGGAAACAGAGAGAGACGAGGGAAAAGAATACAGCCTACGGATCACCACCCCCTTGACATCCACCTCCAACCAGGTCCCACCTCCTAACAACAAATTCAGCTACCAAACTCATCAATGGATGAATCTACTAATGAGTATAATGCATCCATAATCCAATCATGTTCAATCACCTTCTACTCACATAAGAATTTGGGGGAAACATTTTAGATTTGAGCCATAATATTTCAAACTTGGTCCCCAAAAGACTCAAGTATTAAAAATGCATTTAAGACCCTCTCTAAGCTGCGACCGGCCAGGAGAGACAAGCAGAATGAAGCTCCAGGGCCGTCCCGGGCCCCGTCCATGCCACTGTGAGGTCTGCTTAGCCGCACTGGCCACTGCAATGCCCAGTCCCCCTCGCCCCCCACCCCGCACCTCCTACATTCCGGCTTTTCTGCTACCCGGTCTCACACTACAGAGGCACAGGAGATTATAAAGACCCTTGTCCTGAGCACCACAAGATAGAGCAGAAGTTACTAACAAAAAGAGGGCATCTCAGGCTCCTCGATGAAAACTAAAGCTCAGCAGAAAAGTAAAGAGAATCTCTACAATAAAGGCACATCAGACCACTGTACTTGGTCTGCTTCTGGCTTGCTGGGACTCATTGACTCATGTATGCACACGGATTCCTACGTTGCCTACTGTGACAGCAGAGACATACCCTGAAGGAGGCCCATAATTTCTATTGCCATTTGCAAAAAAGAAAACAAAATTTTTTTCTCTTATTTTTAATTCTTAATCTTTACTTTTTTTCTACTCTTCAAAGTTCTACTTTTCTTTCTTTTCTTTCTTTTATCTTTTCTTTCTCTCACTCATTCTCTTGCTGTCCCACATTGCTCCTCATCTCCCCATTTGTTCCTTTCTGCACTGAATTTGGATTTCTCCCTTATTGTTTTTTTCTTCTCTTTTTCCTTCTCTTGATTATCATTAGGTTTAAAGGAAAGTAATTTTGGTATCTAGCCTCCCTGTTGCTCTTAGATGATTCTATTCACATCTTTGTTCTTTCATTCTGCCTTTTTCTCTTGCCTTTAACAACTTTTTAGAGTTTGTGTGATCTTTCTGTGTCTTCTGGCCTCACCGCTAATCTTACCTGTTCTTTCTACCTGTCCCTCCCTCCCCAACTCTTTCTAACTCCCCACCCCAGAGGGGAAAGATGTTATATTGAAGAGTTTATTCATTATAAACTTATGTTGGGTTGGTCCTCTGTTTTAATTTAACTCACATAGTTGAAAGTGATAGATTAATAACTACCACAAATTGTCATTTACTAAGCTGTGTTTGATGCTATGGTATTGCTGACTATGTCATTTGGGCTAACATGTTGTGATTGATCTAATTAGTTTTCCTTCCTGGTATAAGAAAAATAAAATAGCTTCAGAGTCATTGGAGTCTCAAAACCCAAACACAACCTATATCTGGAAGACACCTCTGAAAAGCAATCATTCCACAAGAGTTTTAAAAACAAGCAGCAAAGATACCTACATTAAGGAATTTTGAAATATCAACCCAGGAATTAAACCAAGGACAGTACCAAAAACAAAAATGAGAAGACACTTGAGCAAGGCACAAACACAGGCTTCCTCTCCACAAAAAGGAAATTCTGGGGGAAATGAGGTGGAAAAGTCTGATAAGCAACCACTTGGACACCCTGAACTGATAGCACAGGAAGTAACAAAGCAGATGCATGAGGCTCTAGAAAATTTTAAAACACAAATAATTTCCCAGATAAATACAGACATGGTGAGCAGAGTGAAAGACATGATCAGAAGCTCTAGAGCAGAAACAGATAAGAAAAAAAATGAGATCAAAAACATGCCGGAAGCCATGAATGCCTAGCATAAGAAAGAAATGGAAAACATGATCGCCCAACATAAGAATGAAATAGAATCCATGAAACAGATTCAAACAGATATTCAGGAGATGAAAAACTCCATTGAAAGCATGCAGAGCAGACTGAGAGAATCTGAAGACAGAATATCAG